TGTGTGTGTGTGTGTGTGTGTGTGTGTGTGTGTGTGTGTGTGTGTGTGTGTGTGTGTGTGTATGTGTGTCATTGCCACCATTTGGTTGTGGAGGTCAGAGGACAACTTGCTGAAGTCTGTTTTCTGCTTCCACACCTGGGTCCTAGGGATTTAACTCAGTTGTCAGATTAGCCTGCAGGTACAAATACTTTCACAACTCCAAGGTTAAATACTTCCTAGAATGGATTTTATTTGTACCTTTTTAGTTTTTTTTGTTTTTTGTTTTTTGAATTAGGGGAAAACACTATTTATCCTAAGCTGGCCTCAAAATCAAAGCAGTCTGCCTTGGATTCTCAAGTGTTGATATTACAGGCATGAGCCACCACCACACCTGGAAATCCTTAAGAGTGTGTGTGTGTGCGCGCGCGCGCGCGTGCCTGTGTGCGCGCGTGTGTATGCCTGTAGAGTCTGTGTGTTTGTGTGTGTGCGCGCGCGTGTGTCCAGAACTGGGCACGGGATCCTTTGAGTCGGGAGTTATAGGCAGTTGTGAGCTGACAGACATAGCTTGGGAATTGAACTCAAGCCCTCTGGAAGATCAGCAAGTGCTCCTAACTGATGTGCCATCTCTCCAGCCCAATCACCTTTAAAAAATAGATTTGTGTGTATCAGTGTCTCTGTATGCCACGTGTGGGAGTTTGTTGGATACCCTGGAGGTGGAGTTACAGGAAGTTGTGAGGGTTCCAACCCAGGTACTAGGAGCCAAACTCTGCAAAGGCAAAAAGTTCTCTTACTGAGCCATCTCCAGCCTCCTTTTAACATGCACAGTTGAAGATGTGACGTTGCATGAGGCTGTAGCCTTCTATCGGCATCTCTGCCCTGTTAGCATACAGCATTCCTGTTAATACACCCCCCTCCTGAAAACTCTTGGCTATAGCCCACATGGGCTAACCCAAAAGCTGTCAACCTGACACCAACCTTTGGGCCTTATGTGTTCTTGAGTGCTAGGCTCTGACCTCTCCGCTACTCCCCAGTCTCAGGAGTTACACCAACCTGTTAAAGTGGGAATGGTGGCGTGCAGAGGGACCCCCCCCACACTCCACCCCCCGCCAAAGGGCCCTCCTGGTTGTGCTGGCCCTTCCTGCTCCCCTTGGCCAGGGCTCAGTTTCCTCCCTTTCCCACCTCTGGAGAGCCACTTCATCCTTGGGTCCCACACCTGTGTCTTTCTCCACAGCGATAATTATGCCCATGGTTAGCCCCTACACCAAGTATGCCAGCATGATCAACAAGGCCACACCCTACAACTACCCAGGTGAGCCGGGGCCTGTGCCGTGGGGAGGGGTCAGACACAGCTGTGTAGGAGAGTCATGGCAGGGTTGGGATGTTCAGCCTAACATGCCTTGAGTTTCTCTCTGCACGCTTCTGCTCCTCTGGGTTCCTCCAAACCTGTTGAGAGATCCTCCCTCAAGTCTGCCTGTCCTTGCTTCTGCTGCGTCTCTGGCCCTCCCTCTCCTCTTTCCCACCTGGCGTCCTGTACTGTCTCTGAATGTAGAGGCTGTTCTCTACAGGATGCTGGGGATCTGCTGGTCTCAGTGGCTCATCCTTTTGTTTACAGTGCCTGTTCGAGATGATGGGAACATGCCGGATATCCCCACGCACCCCCAGGACCCTAAGGGCCCAAGCCTGGAATGGCTGAAGAACCTGTGAATACGCCTGATGATGGAGTACTTCCCTGTTGCCCCCCAATAGAAATGTGAAAACCAACCCCACAGTCTTTTTCTGTCACTTTGAAAGCAGGAAGTCTATATATGTAGCTAGGCTGACCTGGAGCTCAGTGTGTAGCCAGGGTGGGCCTCACACTAATGGCAATCTTCCACCTCGGCCTCCAGGCCCACAACCCGAGTGTTTCAGGGATGGGAGCAGCTGACAGTGGCTTAGACAAGTGTAGTGTGTGTGTTGGGGGGTCTGTTTATTGGGGAGAGAGGGTTAGTCAAAGGGTGGGCTGGCTAGGGTAGGGTAGGGTAGCAGTTTGTCGGGCCCTCGAGAAACCCAACTTGAATCCAAGGCCTCATCTGCTTCAAAGCCAAAGTCTTCCTCAATCTTAATCATGCCTTGGCCCCAGCCGCCACTACCACCTGCACTGGGGTCAACGAAGTCCAGACCCACGGTGCCTGCTGCCTCTCTGAGGGCGCTGTTTTCCCAGGCCCTTCACTTGAGGCAACCCTGGGAAGCATCCCTCAACTGACTTCCTCTTCTCCCCCCTGTTCCTGTATCTAGTCATTTTCTTCAAACTCTAGCCTCAATAATCAAACTCCTCT